GGATAAATCTTAAGATGAACATGGACAAAACAAAGATCATGTTTAATGTCCATGATACACCTATGCCGGTACTTGTTGGGAACACTAAGCTCGAAGTTGTTGACGAGTATGTTTACCTGGGACAAATAGTCCGACTAGGTAAGTCCAACTTCAACCGAGAGGTCAATCGACAGATTCAACTCGGTTGGGCAGGGTTCGGGAAATTACGGCACATCTTCTCGTCATACCTCAAAACTTGAAAACGAAACTGTACACCCAGTGCGTGATGACATACGGAACTGAGACGTGGTCCTTCACTGCTGGCCGGATGAGGAAGCTCAAGGTCGCTCAGCGAGCTATGGAGAGGGCTATGCTCGGAGTTTCTCTGCGTGATAAACTCAGAAATGAGGATATCCGCAGTAGAACTAGCCCAACGGATTAGTAAGCTGAAGTGGCAATGGGCCGGCCATATAGCTCGAAGAACCGACAACCGATGGGGAAGAAAGGTTCTCGAGTGGCAGCCTCGTACCGGCAGGCGAAGTGTAGGGCGTCCCCCCACTAGATGGAGTGACGACCTGGTAAGATATGCAGGAAGTCGATGGATGCAGGTGGCTCAGGACCGTGCTTTGTGGCATTCTTTGGGGGAGGCCTATGTTCAGCAGTGGACTTGTGAAGGGCTGTAATGATGATGATGATATTCTTTCCTGCGGATATGTGTTCATAACTGCTGCTAATTATATATTAGTCATAGGCAGAATGACACATATACCAACCAATGTAAGCTTTATTATGTATTTCTTAAAATATACTTACCATAAAAATGTTGTTATGTAGAGCTAGAATATCAATCAAATCAAAGAGTGACGTTGTACTCAAATAGCGCATATCTATTACAAGGGGGGAAATGTGAGATGTTTTACTTCAAAAACCTTACAACATTTATACGTCCCTGTGGGACATATAAATGTTGTACACATCCATCTTTATATATCTGTGAGGTTTCTTTTTTGGAACAGGGAAGAATTTGTCGTGTGTAAACAAACGCAAATTTTCATTTTATTTACTTAAATTTTTAGGTCTAATTTTGCTCGCACTGTTTTTCTACATCATAGATAATGTGGTAAATCAAATTTTAAAAGTACATTAACAATTTCGTTGGTTTCAGCGAGGATCGAACTTAGGTTTTTCGCGTAATATGTGCGGACACATTTCCTGACCCATCACAGCACTCCTTCCATTATTAACGTAATCTCTATGCTCACAATTATTGAAAACCTGTATAATGTAGTTATCGCTTTCAATATTAACGTAATCGCTATGCTCTCAATTATTGAAAACCTATATCATGTAGTTATCGCTTCAAAATTTTTGTCTCTTCTTTTTACGAACTGGTGCTAATATCGCTATTTCTCATTAAATACAAAATTTGTTTTTCTTCATTTTACTACTAATAATAGAAAAATTACTATGGTTGAAGAAAATGTTTTCCTGTTTCTGAACTAAACTAAACTCCAATTTTGAATGATACTTTTAAATTTAATATGCATAAATTACTTTGAATTTTCTGGCCTTCATAAAAACCGAAAAATTTTTTTTCATTTAAATAACTTTCCGAATGTTACTTATTTATAGGAAAATGTCGCACTTTATTCATTTAAATTGTTATTTGCTAAAGAAAATCTTAGAAGTAGACAAAAACTACATCATCTATCACAAGTCTAATATTTTGCCTCGATTTTAATCTATAAAGTATCGATAATTGTATAATAAGCATTTCCATCGTCGTCATCTATATTCAATTTAGTTAGCCGTAGATTTAGTTTGTTTAGTTTGCTTATTTGTTTTTTTTTTTTGTTTGATTGCTTGTTTATTTAGTTTTTTATATTATATAACATTTACCGATTAAGGTATCACTATTTACTTTTAGCCTTCGAAACTTTACAATGGTACTCAGCTCAAATTAGTTGTCTCTTCTCAAAAGAACGTGGTATACAGGGCAAAAGTAGATAGATATTACCAGGGCCATGATGTTGGTGAGAGGGTGTTTTATAACACAAATTCGCATAAAACGAAGCATCTACAACTTTTCAATCACAACCAACGCTACTTGAAATAGAGTATCTAAAATTTGGAGGAGTCAGAGATTGAAGACATTGTCGCATCACTTTGTGACACAAATAAATGTCAAGCATTGTTTATTCGTCTTCTTCTTTTTCATCAGTATTTAATAGTCTACTGTAGGCCATGGGCCTCTCCCACTGTAGGGGTTACAGTTACCGTTTTAGCCTATCAAAGTCCACTGCTAAACATAGGCCTCCCCCATGGATTGCCTCAAAGGGGGGGATATTTGACATAGTTGCCACACTTGGCAGGCGTGATAGCGACCGCAGTTTTTTAGTTTTTAGTTATAATTAGGAAGACGCTGCTGCGCATCTTCTGGTTTATTTGCCTCTGTCGCCTCTTACGACAACCATGGGACTATATAGGGTAGTCGATATTATAAGGTCGGAAAACATTTTCTTTGTATTTTATATACAAATTCAAGACATTTTTTTTTTCAAAGATTAATTACATTTAATTATAATATACATGTGGCATGTTGTTTGATACCTCGTTGCCATCTTGTAGGTAACATAATCCCGTTGCTGCAAAAATCTTAAAGAATTATGATGAGACCGTAACAGGTGAAAATCTGAGGGTCAGGACTACTAGGTGGATGCGTTAACACTTCCTAACCAAACTCTCTTAATTTTTTTATGAGTGTCCAAATATGTGTGTAGTCTGGCGTTATCATGATGAAAGACCACTCCTTTTCTGTTGATCAATTCCGGCCGTTTTTTCTTAATTTCTTGCTTGAGTCTCATTAGTTGTTGGCAGTAGAGATCTGAATGCATGGTATTGCCCGTCGGTAAAAGCTCATAATAAACGACGCCCTTTCAATCCCACCACACTACACACGGATTTCGCTAGTCTGTGGAGCTTGACTACCTTTGACCATAATCTTTTTCACACGTTCTTATCGTAGGTGATCCACTTTTCATCACCAGTGATCAATTCTTTTTTTTTTCAAAAATGGTTCATTTTCATTACGTTTTAATAGAGAATCGCAAATGAGTACACGATTTATTATGTTTCTTTCAGTGAGCTCGTGTGCTACCCAATATTGAGCTTTTTTGTAAGTCCAGACTTTTTCGAATGAGTCAAAACTATTTTGTGGTCAATCATCAACTCCTCGGCTGTGTCGTAACAGCTAATATGCCGATTTTGCTCAACTTTTTCAAAAATGACATCGACTTCATCCGTATGAAATCGACCGGAGCGAGCTGTATCTATGAAATCAAAATTTCCGGAGAGAAAACGCTTGAACCAACTTTGTGCTACTCTTACTGACACTGCATTATGTTCATAAAAGTTACAAATTTTTTTCGCGGCTTGAGTTGCATTTTCCCGTTTTTCGTAAATAAACTTCAGAATGTATCGAATTTCTTCGTTACCTTCATTCATTTTGGTGGACAATAAAACAATTGAAAAATGGCGGAAAACTGTTTTTACTTTTTATTGTTCTATTTCTTGATGTCCTATATGTATTGGTATTAAAACCAACCAAATACAAACATTACAACCAAAGAAAGTTTTCTTCAACTTTATACTCCGTAAGAGCGTGGTGCTACCCCGGTCAAACCGACCCATTCGTGCAACCACGTACAAAACTGATGGGTTCATTATCGCCAACACTACACGGTAAACGAATTATCGTTCCTCCTTATCAGTTTGCAATGCAATGTTTGCATAACCTCTTTCAATGTTTCTTTTCATATTTTCTCAGCGCGACTACGTTATTTAGTTTTATTTTTAATAAAATATTAGCGCTCGCTGTAAGCTTCACAGTGCTCGAGCAACCCGGGTTCGATCCCCGCCGGCACCAATGAAATTGTTAATTGCAATTTTAAGTGCTGATTTACCACGTGCTCGGCGGTGAAGGAAAACATCGTGAGGTAACCTGCATGTCTGAGAAATAAATAAAAAAAATTATTCGAAGACATGTGAAGTTCGCCAACACGCATTGGGGCAGCGCGGCGGACATTTCATTGCCCTAAAATCCTCTCAGAAATGAGAGGAGGCCTGTGCCCAGCAGTGGGATGTAAATAGGCTGCAACTTTACTTTAACTTACTTATTGAACGTGAAGACACCCTCGGTTTTTAAGTCATCAATGCACTTGATCGATTTTATTATATTACTGTTTGAGTTCCAACTGCAGAGTAATTTATAGAATACCAGCTGGTACCCGGCGTGTTGCTGCCATAAAAAAAACATTGTGGAAATATCATTTTAAATTTGGAAGAGTTATATTGTTTAATGGCGAATGATAATACACTTATTGAAATTAAATTATTTATAACTTTCAAATAAATTTGTTGGTACGATACTTCCGGCACCTACTGTAAGTTAATTGTACTATGCCTATAATCTTCGCGCAAGTGCAAGCAATAAGTTGACAAAGTTTAAGTGCAATATTATGAACGGTAAGGCAGCTCATAAAATACGAACAAACAAACGTTTATATTTATAAAAAACACACATACATACATACATATAATCACGCCTCTATCCCGTAGAGATAGGCAGAGACCAGTTCTTTCCACTTGCTACGATCCTTACATACTTGTTTTGCTTCGTCCACTTATAAAAACAGTTTCTATGCGAACGAAGTCGCGGACACACCTAATGTAATTTAAAATTGAACTAGTGTATTATAATGATATAATATGCAAACTGTGTAGGTTCAAATGTAAAATATTTTTACGTTCCGTCTTATCAATTTATAGTGTAATGGAATAATATAACAAATAATGCTGCTATTTTAACCCTTTCGGCGCTAGTCTAGTGCTTTTTTCACCTCGGGTTGACTGGGGGAGAATGCCACAATAGCATTAAGTTTACCCATTGTACCATTACATTAAGGTGTTAACAGTAATGAAATAATAAATAAAAAATAACTGGCATGGTATCATAAACTCACCATCACCGACGTACTTGAGAACAAACTGCACTTCAGGCCCCAGTGTTGCGGCGATTTCTAAGGGTAACTCTGTATCCCGCAACACGTGTACTGCGAACAATAAACACAAATACTTAAGTTGTTAAGTTTTTTTAAAAAAAAGGTCACCGTATAAAATTTTCAATATGAACTTACTTAGCCCTACTAAAAAGCAAACTAAGGGCCATAGATGTTAATGTGTAGCTGCCATTATTTGTTTTAAAGCACGTTTCATTAAACAAGTATTTATAATGCCGTAGTTCGAACCTGTAATAATGGATAACTAAACAGGAAATTAAAATGTATTTGAACTAAATATTAAGATGTTAAAAATTTATTAGTTAAGTATTTTTACAATAAAATCCACTATAAAAATAAAAAAGACCGCAAAATTTCTATCGCTGTTTCTTCTCCGGCCAGAGCGCCCTCATATCTAAAAGGTAATAATGTTTAAAATTAATAAGTTAAGATTCGCGTAATTAAATGAAATGATGTGTCTCATCTAGTTTGAAGAGCACCTCCCGCCCTCCCTCAATTGCGTGCACTATCCCCGTCACCACTAATCCTCACACCACTACTCCTAACACCACTACACTAGGAAAGACACACCACCGTCGATAATACGATACTCGGATCGCCTCTAAACGAGGCATCCTCAGGAGAAATAGACTATGCCGTGGCTGACCGATAAGTGTATCTTAGTGGTGACGCAGATATTTTACGCAATTGAGGGAGGGCAGGAAGTGCTCTTCAAACTCGGTAAGACACATCATTTCATTTCACTACGCGGATATTAGCTAATAAATTTTTAACATATTAAAAATCTATTAACTTTTAGAAATGAGGCTCCTCTAGTCGGAGAAGAAACAGCGACAGAAATTTCGCGGTCATTTTTGTATTTTTTTAAAGGTAGTGTTATAATAGTATAGTATAAACAGAATGAAAAACTTAGGCATTTTCTACGATGGACCCAAAAAATGCGATTAAAAATTTTTAGGTTATTAGTGCAGAGCGAACCAGAGCAGGCCAGCCCCCGCAAGCAGCACCTGCTCACAAGTATGATGCATGTTGAGATTAAAGGGAAGAGGACGATACGATGGACTTCATGTATGTATATGATATTTAATACTTTGCATGCCTTAAGGGCGAAACGCGTAGGTATTTTCTACTAGCGCCTAAAAATTAAGATTCCAACGTTTTGTCGCATGAAATCGTATCTAACGATCATATTGTATATATAAATGATATAAAAAGAATTTTTATATCATTTATATATACGATTAAATGCTATTTTGACCTAAAATGTGGTTTTATTGGCTTATGGTGTGAATTTATCAAGTCCGCATGATGGGGTAAACACGATAATTTTTGAAAATATTTATTGTTCAACTCAATCTATTTTTTAAACTCTTCATCTATCATGTGGGAAGCCATGGAATATAAATGCAGTTTAATTTTGTTTTGTTTCGTTATAATAAATTTTTTTCGGCTAAGAAATGCCGATACCGTGTAGTGGCGGTTAAGAATATCCACTACCCCATATCTTCCCGTGGGTGTCGTAAAAGGCGACAAAGGGAAACAGGCAGGAGATGGGCAGTACCTTCCTGATAACAACAAACTTACAATAAAAATACTGCAGTTGCCAACCCGCTCGCCAAGCGTGGCAACAGCGGCAAATACCCCTCCTATGATGAGAGTAACAAAGAAACGGCCCCCAGTCCCCGGCGGCCCCGCTATTCCTGGCTACGGTGGCGACCATGGTAACGGCAGGGCTAAGAATCTCCGGTGGAGGTTCAGTTGCCACCTAAGACGACTTGACCTGGCAACATACAACGCACGCACCCTGAGGACTGACGAGAAGATCGTGGAGCTAGAAGAAGAGATAGACAAGTTATGCTGGCATATTATAGGATTATCCGAAGTTCGAAGAGAGGGGGAGGACACGGTAAGCCTCGAATCCGGCAACTTGCTCTATTACCGAGAGGGCGACCATCTGTCCCAAGGAGGTGTCGGATTTATCGTCCACAAGTCTCTCGTTAACAACGTTGTAAAGATTTAGAGTGTGTCGACGAGGGTTGCGTACCTTATACTCAGAATCACCAAACGGTATTCGCTGAAGGTCATACAGGTTTACGCACCAACCTCGGCACACACCGATGAGGAGGTGGAGGAAATGTATGAGAATATCTCTAGAGACATGCATTCTTCCAAAACCCACTATACGTTGTTAATGGGAGACTTCAACGCAAAACTAGGCACAAGAGAGAACGGTGAGCTGAAAGTAGGGAAATTCGGAATAGGGAAACGGAACCCAAGGGGCCAGCAGCTGGCCGACTTCATGGAGAAAGAGGGACTATTTATGATGAACTCTTTCTTCCAGAAGCGGCCCCACAGGAAGTGGACCTGGTCGAGCCCCGACGGCTCCACAAAAAATGAGATTGACTTCATTATGACGACCAGACAACAACTGTTCAGTGATGTCTCCGTGATCGCGAGGGTGAAAATTGGTAGCGATCACCGAATGGTTAGAGGCACACTAAACCTACACGTTAAGTTGGAGAGGTCTCGTCTAATGAAGTCAACGCTCCGTCCCCCTCGTGCTCTGTTCCAAAGTCCCGAAACCTTTCACCTCGAGTTACAAAACCGTTTTCAGTGCCTAGAAGACTGCAATGAAATGGACGATATGAATAACAAGCTCGTGGAAACTGTCCATGCGGTCGGAGTTAAGTTCTGCAAGACCCACCGCAGACGAACACAAAAACTCTCCGATCACACTCTCAATCCCATGGCTGTTAGACGAGAGATGAAGCTACATTCTTCAACAGATTTGACAGCATACCGGCAACTGAACAGACAGATCTCCAAATTCATGCGGCGGGAGTTACGCATCTTCAATACAGCTTGTATTAAAGAAGCGAGCGAGCAGAACCAAGGCTCCAAAGTCTTTGCCAGAGATCTGTCTGCCAGAAAGAGTCAACTGTCAAAGCTGAAGATCGAATGTGGCAGTATCGTTTCCGGGATACCCAAGATTTTGAGTGAGATTGAGAGATTCTATGGGCAGCTGTACACGTCATCGTTGAAGCTACACGCAAGTGTGAGTAACGATCCAAGAGCGAGTCTCATCCGACACTATTCCGAAGATATCCCGGACGTCAGTCTGAGCGAGATTAGAATGGCTCTCCAGCACCTTAAAAACGGCAAGGCCCCAGGCGAGAATGTAATTACAGCAGAGCTTCTGAAAGCGGTTGGAAGAATGATACTTGAAGTCCTTAAGAAGCTCTTTAATTCCGTCCTCCATGGTGGCGTTACACCGGAGGCGTGGAGCAAAAGTGCGGTGGTGTTATTCATCAAGAAAGGTGACAACGCTCTCTTGAAAAACTACAGACCGATTTCCCTTCTGAGCTGCGTCTACGTGCTGTTTTCGAGAGTCATTACGAATCGTCTCGCACGCAGACTTGACGACTTCCAGCCTCCCGAACAATCCAGTTTCCGAAAGGGCTTTAACACCATAGACCACATACATACCCTTCGGCAAATTGTACAGAAGTCCCAGGAGTACAATTTTTACAAAAAAAAAATTGCCACTATGCACTATAAACATTGAATTTTGGTCACAACATACGTTCCACGTTCATTATCTTCGAAGCAAATTTCTGTATTTTAAACAACGAAAGTAAAATTACTTGACTCCGCGATTTTTGAGGAGCTCATTAACGAAGGGAACTCCCTTACGAAGGGAACATCGCTTATCCTCACCTACATTCCTTACCAGACACACCCTTAATGTTTCAGTTTGAAGATGGTTGTACTAACACTTAAGGCAAACAAGAACCCGCCTATTCAAACATACGCTTGTCACTTTGTAACAGAGAAACTACAAAGTTTTGTTTAACAGAATTTAATATCTAATTATACATTTATAAAATAAATGGCATCAAAAGGCTTTTTATTTCCAAAATCAAAAAAATATAAAGATATTTAAGTTTAACCTACAATAAGTACTCGTATTTAAATTACACTGAATATAATATATAGCTTTACTAAATTGCATAAGTTTTTATTTTTTGGATTAATATTCGTTCGAATCTGTGTAGGGTAAAGGCCTGCTCTTGCTTTTCCCTCTTTCTCTGTATTTTGCTTCCATTGTCTTAGTGTGTGTCAGGATCGTGCCAAATGGAAGTCCGTAGTCTCTGCCTACCCGTCTGTGTGACAGGCGTGAGTGTTTGTGTGTCTTAGTCTATCTATAGCCTATTTCTTTAAAATTATTTTAAGTCATCGTTTCTTATTTCTTTAGGCCTGCCAAGCCTTCCCTTTTCGTTCCCGATGGGCAACATTCTTATATCTGATTTAATTCTACATAAAAAATAAGAAGGTCATATATATATATATATATATATATATATATCCAAGGTTTTTACTATAATTACTTTGCTTGAAAGAATCGAAAAACTCTCACAACATTTCGAGATAAAATAATATTTTCACAAAGTGCCTGTGCGAAACATGTAAGCAATAATAACCATCACATACTAGGTAATTGGCGAACTATTTCAAAGTTAACGGCGCTATAAAACAATTTTCCTAACTAACGTAACAATCTACCAAGAGATCTTATGAGCATAATTATAGCTCTCGATACTTAATAAAAATAAAATCAAGCAGAATGTGAAAGTGAACACGTATTAACGAGCAGTTATAGTACGTTTCCCAGACGAAACCAGTTGCATTGCCCCTTTCTTCGTCGCGTGTTTATTTTTATCTTTATATTTTATCATATATGAGTTCATTATGCCAAATTATAGTTGTTGCAAAGCAATTTTAAATTGCATGGCTCCCGATTCCATTTACGTCTGTTATTTCAAGTGTTCCCTACAAACTAATAATGAGAAAATAAAAACTTTGATGAAGATATAAACATCATTTCATTATTAAGATTTAAAAATGTTGTGTAAACATTGAAATTTTAATTTTTACTGTTATTTTACGAATATTAGAATATATAGAAAAAACTTTAACAAAATGTTTGTAAATTATTTTTAGGCATTTACCTAATCGCCACAATGTACTTCCGT